AAATATGCCTTCATGTTCGGGAACTGATGTTCCTTGCTTCCTTCTGCAGAAACTCTTTCTTGAAGCATTCCAAGTGTAATATCGTGGAACCTCAGGATAGAGCAAATTTTTTGCGAGCGGGTCCTGTTGACACAATTGAAAGAAAGCCGTTAAAGTAGTGTTTGGTGGTGCTGCCGCAACTGTCCGGGCATTAGCATTGGTGAAATACACCCTTTGGCCATTCTCCAAATGAACACTAAGGTGAACAACGTTTGAATGACGTTAATGAATAGGGAAACTCAATATCCGCCAAACTGCTTCATTGACACTGATATATCTACCCAACAGGTACTGAGATATTTCATCATTAGTGTTTTCTTTGGAAAGTCCAAAAATGGCCATATCTTGCCCTTATTAACATATTTGCAAATATACTTAACTGAATTACAATATTCAACATTTATGTGGGCCTTGAACATTCTAGAAAGAAGTGGGGAGTATGGAATAACCCATTTGTTGTCTACTTCAATTTCAGTGTTTCCTCGGCCCTTCAGCTTGCCTTTGAAACCTCCATTTTCTGGGGCTCGTTTCCTGTAGCGAGGATAACCATCAAACCCAGTTTGTGTATCACTAATCAGGTCTCTTGGGTAATTTTTGCTGCACTTGCCATTTTTCATACATGGTGCATTTATATTAAAAGTGCCACATGGTCCATGGATCATATTTTTTATCACCACTTCATAGAGATTGGGGTCTTCCTCTGGGTTTGGTATCTCAGCGGAAATAACATTATCAATTTGAATAGGATGAATTTTGTCTTTAAGCCAGATTAAAATATGTGAATGTGGTAGTCCGCGTTTTTGCCATTCAATTGTGAACATCCAACATCGAGTCTCCCCAAATATGCATTTCTTTGTTATTAGAGCAATTAATTTATTCAACTTTAGTTTGAACACTCTGGCTGTCAGGTCATGGCGGTCCATCGGTTTCTGTCCATTAAAAAGTTCGGCATTAATTTCAGGCCATGAAGGGTTACATGTAAATGTTATAAAAAGATCGGGGCGTCCATAAGTTCTAACAAAGACCACGGCATCTTGTGTGTACCCGTGCATGTGTCGAGGACTTCCTGGCAGTATCACCAATTTTCCAAAATTAGCAACCATCCCATCATTGGCAACAGCATCCCTCAAGTGAATGTATTCTTCCACTCTGAGCTCTTTTTGATTAAGACGGATGTAAAGAAGACGCTCGCTCTCAATTTTTGCATACATATATACAATATATTGACTGAATAATTGCCTGCAATTTAAAATGTGATTATAAACATTATCCCTGGCTATTATTCTATATGAATAAAAGCTCATAGCTGAAACTTTTTTATTAGTTGGTACACCTGAATTTTGGTCTATCTGCCTATAGTTAAAATGGTAGCCATCCTCGCCTTCCCAAAATATTATAGGATATTGAAGTGGATCATAAGATCTATGTGTTTCAGAAATGCGTTGCAGTGCATTGCTGCGGCGTTGTATAATGATGTCACGTTGATTAAACTTATCCGCTGATAGAACTACAGCAACGTCATTACTTTGAGGAGCATTGAAACGGCGTTCGTGTTCACCTGATGGTGTTTTATCAGCCCTTATTACTAACTTGTATTCATCTGATGGCATATTCTCCAATGCTGTTTTAAATATTTTTATAAGTTGATTGCATCGATGAAACATACGCTGTAGGCACAATACTGTACCATGTCGCAAGGCAGAACTGAAATGGCATCTTTGGTTCACCTCTAGCTGAGCATCTTCCACGAAGAATATTTGTAAAAATTGGGGAGGTTGATCAAGTGAGGGTAATAATGAACCTGCTCTATGGTACACCTGACCTTGAACCCTGAAAGTTGTTGGAAAAACACTTTCTTCTGAAAATGATGTGGCACCAAACGAAGTCATTTGGAAACATGAATTGTATTTTCTTATATTCCTTAAAAAATGATTGGATTCGGATGAATTGCCAGACATCAAAGAAAAAAGCTCATCTGGTGGTAATTGCGGAGGTGAAAGATAAACTTTTCCATTTTTACAGCAGAAGCCAGGAGGCTCATCGTTAAATTTCTTGGCTTTACAGTAGTTACATACTATAGACATTTGGCCGATAGTAATACTTGGGTGTTGTTCCTAATTTTTGCACAAATCATAATTAAAACCTTCTAAAAGTAAATTGGAAAGTCTATCACGCGAGTTTCGTGAGGCCAAAGTACTTTCCCTGACATTCCGAATCCTGGCCGTATGTTCTTGTGGGGTTTCTGCCGCTCTCGAAGTACTGACCCTGTTTCTATTTTGCCGAAGCCTGTTCTCACGCTGTCCCACGGATTCCGCCGCTCTTGAGGTACTGGCCCTGTCTCTATCTTGTTGAAGCCTGTTCTCATGCTGTTCCAAGGATTCCGCCGCTCTTGAGGTACTGGCCCTGTCTCTCTCTTGTTGAAGCCTGTTCTCACGCTGTTCCAAGGATTCCGCCGCTCTTGAGGTACTGGCCCTGTCTCTCTCTTGTTGAAGCCTGTTCTCACGCTGTTCCAAGGAATACGCCGCTCTTGAGGTACTGGCCCTGTCTCTCTCTTGTTGAAGCCTGTTCTCACGCTGTTCCAAGGATTCCGCCGCTCTTGAGGTACTGGCCCTGTCTCTCTCTTGTTGAAGCCTGTTCTCACGCTGTTCCAAGGATTCCGCCGCTCTTGAGGTACTGGCCCTGTCTCTCTCTTGTTGAAGCCTGTTCTCACGCTGTTCCAAGGAATACGCCGCTCTCGAAGTACTGGCCCTTTCTCGATTAATCCTAAGACGATGCTCACGTTGCACAGCAGTCTCAGCACTTCGCACATTTCTTTTTTTACTCACTTCTGGTAGGACTTTTTCAATAGGTTTCCGTTTCTTGGGAGGCATCTCAGATCTCTAAAAGCTAAACAAAAGAAAAGAGTATAAAACAGCAATAAAATATAGGCAAAGTAGAGTGCGAAAAAAGCAATTTAGAATATGCATACCTAAAAAAAATATGTTATTTAAAAGCTAAACAAAAGTAAAGAGTATAAAACATCTATAGTTTTAATATTTAATTAATATATAATTTAAAATAGCCTATCGTTTTCCTCGTACCTTTTGTACCTATGTATGGAAATTTTGGAACTGTAAAAAAAAAAAAAACGTTGCTTCAATAATATAAAAAAGAAAAACACCCAGGCTAAGTTTCGAACCAAGGTTGTGAAAATACGAAGCCGCACACCTAACGACCTTTTTGAAATAGGTTCTCGAAACATGGAAATTCTAATACTTCAAATAAATAGAAATAGAGTGAACACAAATAAAACATACCAAATATTTCGAATTAGAGCAGTTATTTTAAAGGCTAATTAGATCAGTTATATCTAAAAATGGAAATATATTGTCATAACCAAAAATGTACATAGCAAGTACATCGGCAGCTTGGCGAATGATATGTACCTAAGCCCCGATAGGTGGCGCGCGCTGTCAGCTCGGCAAGTGTTATGTACCTAAGCGCCGATAGATGGCGGGCGCGCTAGGCGGCAAGTTTGTAAACAATAGTCGCCATCTTGAGGGGTGTAGCCGAACGCCAGCCATTTGGGTCTCTGACATTACTTCCTTAATTTACCATTATTTTTATCCATTTAACTTAGTCTACCTCTATTTCTTTTTATCCCTCAAACTATTTAACTATTTAAAGCCATCAAATAAATTATTATTTTATTCTAGGCAAGTGTTATGTACCTAAGCTCCGATAGATGGCGGGCGCGCTAGGCGGCAAGTTTGTAAACAATAGCCGCCATCTCGAGGGGTGTAGCCGAACGCCAGCCGTTTGGGTCTCTGACATTACTTCCTCAATTTACCATTATTTTTATCCATTTAACTTAGTCTACCTCCCTCAAACCATTTAACTATTTAAAGTCATCTAATAATTATTATTTTATTCTACCCAAACGACTCGGCACCTTCATTACTGTGACAATATAAATAAATAAAACATACCAAATATTTCAAGAGCAGTTAGATCAGTTATATCAAAAAATGAAAAATAAAAATATGTAAATAAAATATGAAATAAAAAATAAATAAAACCTACACAATATTTCAAATTAGAGCAGTTATATTTATACTATATGTGTTATTAAGCGAACTATGAATAGTTATTTTAAACGGCGAATTAGATAAGTTATATCTAAAAATGAAAATGCATAAATAAATAAAACCTACCAAATATTTCAAATTAGAGCAGTTAATATATAAGAGAACTATTATTAAGCGATATTATTAAGCGAACTATTGAGATTGAGATAAAATATTGAGAAGATTTAGATTTTAATGCGCATTTATACTATATGTGTTATTAAGCGAACTATTAATAGTTATTTTAAACGGCGTATTAGATCAGTTATTTTTTACCTATGTATGGAAATTTTGGTTTGAATTAGTGAACTTGATAAAGAGAGAAAAAAATCAAAGATTTTTTTCTCTCTTTATCAAGTTACTCCAGAGGATTTTAATTTATTTAATTATTGAATTAGTGAACTACTGCCAATTTGTATACCGGACATACCAACAGACCAACAAACATACAAACATTCATTTTTATATATATAGATATATCATTATAAACACAAGGTAATAAGACCAAATAAATAAATAGTGTGTGACGTTTCGGGAACAGCATTGTTACCATCTTCAGACAAAAGTACTGGTACTGGTAACAACGCTGTTACAGAAACGTCACACACTATTTATTTATTTGGATTTGGTCTTATTACCTTGTGTTTATAATCTATAATCCAAATTGTGCCCTATCAATTATAAACACAAGGTAATAAGACCATATAAATACATATTTTGTGATGTTCGGGTAAAAGTGTTGTTACCATCATCAGACAAAAAATGCTGAATGAGTAAAAAAGAAAGAATATGGTGTTATGGGCTACTAACCAAAATATATGATTTTTGAGCACAAAAAGAATGTTTCTAAAAAAATTCTCACGCCAGGAATCGAACCTGAGCCTTCTGGGTGAAAGTCAGATATCAAAGCCACCAGACCACGTGGGAGTGAAATGAGTAAAAGAGAATATGGTTTTACAGGCTACTAACCAAAGATTTTTGAGCCTAAAAATGAGTAAAATATCACAGCATGTCTTTAGATAGGTACTGTTATCAGTTACCAGATAAGAAGAAAATAAGTTTTCGAAGAACCCTAAAATACTATTCTTAGAATTAGAAGTGGAAACCCCCCCTCTTTTTAAAATATAATTTAAAGCATATCTGTAAATATCATTGATATTTCCTCTTTCTTCTATTCTGTTAATTGTAGCAAATTTTTTTTGAATGAAAATTCTTCAAATTTTTTTTCTCTAAATTTCCTTATAATCTAATATCTTTGTTTCTTTTATATTGAAATTGTTGTTGCCCTGTGATTTTTCTATGTTCTACAATTGCAGAATTCTCAATTTATCCTATTTTAGAGATATTCATGGTTTTCAATCCTTTCTTTTAAAGTTCTGGATGTTTGTCCTACATATAGCATTAGTTACACTTTTCTCTTCCACTTCAGAAATTAAACCTGCTCTATTTGGTAATTGGGTGTTCTTGTCTTTGTTGATGTATTGAGAAATAGGGTTATATGATTTGTCATACTTTTTGAATTATTTGAAAATAGAGCAATCCACACACACACACACACACATAGTATAGATCTTTAATTAAAAAGTCTTCAGCCAAATATTGGTAAATAAATTATTTTTGGAACCATATGCCTTTTCTATTAAAAATTAATACTTTTTAAACATAGTAGCAGATTTCTTGCAATTTTTTGGTTTATAAATGGTAACGTGATGAATTTCTGGTTTTTGCACTTTAGATTTTGAATCAAAGTAATATACTAATATTTTTGGTTTATGTCTCTTCCATTTTATTCTATCCATCTTTGATGGGAAAATCTTCATTGATTAGTTCTTTCTTTGATGTTAATTTTGTACCCCTAATGAGTGTTCTATATATATGAGGTTTTACTAATCCTACTTTTTGGCTGAAATGGTGCTGTGAACTATAGTTCCAATAAGTTCCTGTATATATATATATAAAGAGAGGTTGTAATAATGTTATTATTGTATGATAAGTTCATGTCCAGGAAATTTATTGATTTGTTGTTATCTACTTCCATAGAGTAATTGATCCAGCCCAGAAGTCCTCCTCTACGTAGCAGGCAGGAGAAGCAGTACAAGTAGGGACTGCCCTGTAGTACGGTGTCGTTAGCCCTGAGATACTACAGTAACCATGAGCTCTGAAATGTGGCTGACTAACGGGGCAATGGCACCCCCCCCCCCCCCCCTTTCCATGAGCAACAAAATCTGGACAAGACACCACCCAGAGTAATTGATATCAGGACATAGATTGTTGAAAGTATCCAATATTCTTTTCTCACTTCCCTGATTAATAAATAAAATGGAGCCATCCACATAACATTTGAAACAATAAAACATAATTTTAAATTGAATTTAGAGCTTTGATTTCTATAGCTTCTTTTGGTGATCTCATTGTTGCACCCTTCATTTGGAGAGATATATTTGATCATGATAAATATGTTTTCAAATAAAAGTTTCCAATAAAAAATTTTCTATTTCTGTATCTTTTATCACATGGTTCAATGCATTAATAAAAGTGGGTATAGGGATAGAAATAAACATGGATTCAGAATCTAATGATATAATGCTTTGATTTCCATATCACAATAATATCAATATTTATCATAAAAAATTCAAACCTCAAGTAGACAGTATGGATAGTCTAAAGAGACAAAGGCCGCCTCTCCCGTCAAAATAGATGTCAAAACCAGACACACCATCTATTGACTGTCACCACAAACTAGCGGCCTTGGGTCGGTGACAAAGCCACAACACCAGCTTTGCCAAACTGAAAAGCGTCCACCTAGAGACCATGGTTTCGAGCTAATGGCCCCCGTCAGTCTAGGGCGGACTTTATTCCATGAGGTCCACACAGGATCTAATGGAATTTGGACAATCTGCCAAAGAGGTGTTTGGCAAAGTGGCTGGGCCAATTCTATGGCTAAAATATAGATGAAAATTTTGCCGGGAGGATATTGATCTAAAGAGACAAAGGCCGCCTCTCCCATCAAAACCAGACGCCATCTATTGACCGTCGCCGCAAGTATGGATAGTGACCTTTTAAAATATATATAGATTGAAATAGAAACAAATTACATTGCTCAAAAAAATTCAAAAGCGCATTTAAAAAATAGAAGCTAAAGAAAGATGACATGCTCAAATATAAATAATTAAGAAATACAAAGAAATTAATTTTATTAATACAAGGAAATAAGGCCTAACCCAAATAAATTAATACTGTGTGACTTTTCGCTAATGATCAGACAAAAGAATAAAACAATAAATTTATTCTTTTGTCTGATGGTGGTAACAATGCTGCTATCAAAACATCACACACTATTAATTTATTTGGATTAGGTCTTATTTTCTTATCTATAATCCAAATTGTGATTTTTCATAATTTTATTATTAAAAAACTCTTCCCTGAAAAAAAAATAAAGCACTCAACTCTGAAATTGAACCAAAAAATAACATAATGAATTTAACAAAGTGAAGGTATCCCAAATGAATTTCAAGACTCCTTAGCAAAGATTATAAATGCTTTATTGCAATGAGATATGTACTGAGGTAGTTTGGATGACTTATCCACATGGTACAGGCCATGATAATCATGGTGGGTAGAAGTTGGCAACTACTTTTACTGTAAGTGCACCGCATGTCTATACATGTGAAAAGCAGTTCGACTTTTGCACTTACAAATGTGTCAGAGTCCTGTTTGGTTACTTTCACTCGCTTGTGGGGTTGGCCAATGGAGAATTTTCCTTTTTTTTATTAGAAAAAAGTGCCTGGCCAATGCGGGATTCAATCCCAGGGCGTAGCGGTCAAAAACCAACAGTTTAGACCATCCTTCCACAGACCCCCACACATATTATCATAGGAAATATATCACTAAATAATATATGTAAAATATATACAAGAAATGCTGTTTATTTAAATATACCCCATTCTTATATTAATTTTACATATTTGTGGGGTGCTTTTATTTCCTATGATATATCCAAACTACCTCAGCACAGACCTTGCTGCCATGATAGACTATCAGATGAGAGAGTGGGATGCTCTCTAAGGCACTGGAAAGGTTCACCTCTGATGAGCAAGATGTCCACAAATATTTTTCTATCGAATAAGGAGCAGTAGAAAATTGTTGTACAGTAGAACAACCTTCCTGTAATGGACACCTAATTGCAGAACCAAACTGTCTTTTAAGGAGAGGTATCCTCTTACAAGAGTTGCTAAATTGTAAAAATGGTAATTTTGCAAGTGAAAACTGTCCTATGTAAAGAGATGTCCGGTAAAGGGAGGTTCTACTGTAATTGTAAAGTAGAAATAACTTCAAATTTTGCCAAACAAGAAAAAAAAGTTTAAATAGTTTCTTACCAAAGCCGTGATTTTCCAATATCAACATTTTTTGACCTGCTTTGTACACAACATGTCTTATCTACAGGATAAGCAAGAAAATGTATCAATTGAAATATGGGGTGTTCCCAAGACATGATTAGAGAATTTAGTGAACTTTTAGAGACAAGAAATGTGACAAAATCACACGAAAAATGGAATTCAATTTTCTTTATTTTGATCAAAATTACTTCTCAATGATAAAACCATACATGAAGAGTAAAGAAATATGCATGAAAATTGATTTAATTATAAAATATAATTAAAAAAAAAAAGGTAAGAATTAAATTTTGAAGAGAGAAATGTTAGAAATTGGAGGATAAAACAGCAAAAAACTTTTAATGAAAAAAAAAAACTGAAGTTAATTATAATGTGTAGATGGATGTAGTAATGATGGAGAGGGAAAATGTTATTGACAAACAACAACAAAATGTGTAATGAAAGGGGAGACTGAACTGTACAGATGACTATACAGGCTGTAGTTAGTTGTCACTTTTCCAGATGCGGATGGTTTTGTCCAGTTCCAGGGCGGCAGAGGCAATGATGTTCTCTGTGGGATGGCAGGCGGTACAGACCACAACGTCCTGGTGGCCCACCAGCTTCTGAACCACTTCCTTGGTCTGTAGGTTCCAGATGTACACAAGGTTGTCCTCCGAGCCCGACACAATCCACTGGGAGCAACAACACCCACCACTTTGTAGCACTACCCTTTTACTACAGTAGAACCATCCATATATAGAGGGTACACTTTAAATTCCAATCTTTGGTGACACCTCTCTAATATAATAACTCCTTTTGAGAGATTTTGCTAAGCTACCAACTTTACATATACTCTGGCTCATTCAATCAAAAACCAGAGCAGATGGAGCTCTTAGTTTTGACTGATAGCTCATCTAGGATAAGATGACCAAGGGCAGATGGGACTCATCCTAGCTTTGATTGGCAACTTATATCTAAAAGAGAGAACTTGCCATAGATGGGAAGTTGGACAACACTCCTGCTGAGCTGTGTATCAGACAGTACCTGAACCATGATATATACAAGGGGACCTTGTTGTAACAGCAACTTGGTGTTATAACATCATAATTCTGAAGTCTCAAGTTTCAAGTAACTCCGCCTTTGTCGGTCCCAAGCCCGGATGAAAAAGGAGGAGGGGGAGCAGTAACAAGCTCACTAAAAAACCTGGGCTCAGCTGGCCCGGCTGATAGTACCCTGTAAGTGCTCCTAATCCAGGGATACAGGATGAGCAGCGTTTGTACTCCATGTTAGGAGCTGCTGCACATGGCGTCTGTTCCTCATGTCAGAGGCGGCCATTTCTTTTTGAGCTAAGTCGGCCTGCCACTGAGTAATGCTCCCAGTCTTAATAACAAAGGCAGATGCATTCTACTTCACCCAGTCATGATGGTTGTCAAACAGACACCATCAAGGGTCACAACTTGATGCCCTAATATGTTTGAGTGGAGATAAGGAAGGAGAAGAAGTTTCAAGTCTTGATTACTTTTTGAGTTGAGAGAAACATCATCACATGACCGA